CCCCCCCCCCGCCAGGATATTTTTCCTGTAAAAACTTTTAAAGTGTTATTTTAAGCAAACCCCGAGGCAGACTTTAATCACTAGGGGGGGTCTCCGCAGCATTGAGCAGTTTTGGGAGCACGTCCCTTCTGCTGGTGAAGGAATGGATGCCAAGCACAGGTCAGCGGCTCCCGCGCAGGGCAGGCGATGAACACCGGGAGCTGTGGGACAGCTCTGCCCCATCACACGCGGGTTCAGTCAATAAACCCTTAAAAGGGTCAAAAACTCTTGCAGCTGCCGGCCGTGGCTGGGCGGTGTGGGGTGGCCTCTCCCGGGCACCTCTTCCAGCACCCTCACACGCCCACATCCGCAGAGCATGGGGGTGAACCGTGCCGGACCCCGGGCCACAGCTACGGAGCGCTGTCAGGTGCGGCTCTGTGGAAATGCGGGATCTTTATTTACCGTGTTTGTGGAAAATAAGCCAGCGTGCCCCTCGGGATGGGGAAGGAGGGGAAGGCCGGGGGCCTGGGAACGCGGTGGCCGGTGGTTGCCCTTCCCAGGTTGCCGTCAGCTGGCTGTTGCCATGGCGGCTGTCTGCTTCCCCTTCCTGCCCGCGCTGGGGAGGAAGGCGCGAGTGGCTGCGTGTTTGTTTTTAAACTAGGAGAGTTGAGAAAGGGCTCACCTGCGCAGCTGCGCCGGCAGCAGGTCTGCGGCAAGAGCCGTCGCTGTTTGCCGCTCAGGCCCAGCGCCTCAGTCCGTGCGCTCTGCTGTGCTTAGGCTGGGCAGCCCATGGGTGGGTTCTAGGGGTCCCCTGCATCCCCTCTGCTCTCCCAGTGCCGTCTGTCCTCTCTCCATAAACACACGTGCTGCTTATCTTGTTGGGAAGCCTGATGGAGGCTCGCGAGAAAGGAAGCAATCCTTGAGATGACGCCTCCTTTTACTACGACTTTAGTCCCACGTAAGAGTCGCTGCAAGACAGAAGGATGGAGTTTACTGAGGAAGGTCGTCCATCCTCTTTATTGTGTCACTACGAGCAACCATGTGGCTGAGCTCCTCTTTCATTTTTCCCTATGTTACTGCCTCATTTTTTTCTCTGCTGGTTCTACACATGCATTATACTTTGGTCATTAGGAATCACAGCTGGAAAGATTTGTATTTGACTTCCAATGGTCCGCATTTCTCTCCAGTAGGGGACACCTTCTGTAACCTCTGTTGCCTTGGGGACTGTGACTTTCTAGTTTTTCTAAGCTAAAGCATATTTTGTGGTAGCACAATATGCCTCCAGCCACCTGGCAGCCAAAACAGCCTTCAGTGATGAGTCAGCAACTGCTCCCGGTGTGCAAGTATTTTTGTATTCAGTGAATAAATACAATCCCAACAACTTGTTGCTAATACTTGTATTAGTCATTAAAGGAAGAATAATGTTTTTATGTAGACATATGCCATTATTATTCTTTTGCTCTCACAGCACCATTTAGGGCCATATTAATCCTTCTAGTTAAGATGGGGTCAGAATATGGCCCTTAATTGTCTGGAAGCTATAAAGCAAAGTTAGAAGCTGCCCATGAGATCAATAGGGTAGACAGAGTGCACCAGACAGACCCACATACAACATGTGTTTATGACTAGCATATTTACTTTTTTAAACAGGGATGTTAATGGCGCCTATATATCAAATGTAAAAATTAGTCTTATTAATCTGTTAAACATTTATGCTGATGGAGCTCAAGGAGCTGTGTCAAAGGGACAGTATTTTCTTTGAACGTGCATCACTTGTCCTGATCTTCCCTTTGATCACCCTGTGCAAGGGCTTGGTAGGAGTACAAAAGGTTTTGACGTCTGGGGTGTTATTTGCCAGATACGTATCTGCATGCTTACAGTGTGAAACATGTATTAGGAATTAATTATGGGGAAGGAATAAGTGTCGGGTCAGTCATGTTCCTCTTTCATTTGCTTCCAGTAAAAGTCTTGCATGGTTTTTTTTTTTTGTGTGTGTTTGTTTACAAGGAGTCTGGCTTTTGGTTCAGCAGTTCATGGAAGAGGCTTCACTAATGTACTGTTGCTGCAGAGGACACTTTTCCTGTAAAATGGCCTTTCCTTGTGACTCATTGAAGCATTCATGCTAACATTTCAGACAGACAGTCTCTTAAGGATATCCCCTTTAAAAAGCAGCAGCTGCAATAGGAAATGGTTTTATGTGTTTCCAGCTTTGTGTTGACTTACTGTATTCACAAGTCTACTCTTCTTTAGTTACAGTTAGTATAGAGGGCAAAAGGGACTTCTTTCCTTCTTGGGAAGGAAGCCTCAGAAGAGTTATTTTGTTGCTCCCACATGGAGGTGGCAAAGTGTTCATCCCTGGTACTTTTGTGGAGTAGTGACTCTGAGGATTTAGTTATTTTGATAAAGGGCAAATCAGCCTGGTGAAACTTAGGGAAATTATAGACCAGTGTTGCAATAGTTATAAATCTTAGAAAAATGTCTCAAAACATATAATATTTAAAAAATTATATATTTATATTTACACACACACATATATGTATGTATGTGTATATATATATATGTATGTATATATGTATATATGCCTAATTCATGGAATTACTCTTCTGGGTTATGTGTCCATCCTAACAGCTAAATTATACCACACCAAAACCTCCTCAATCTTGAAATATTTAAGAATTTTGGTCTTGGCTGAAGCATAGATGGGAAAAAAGTCAGAGAAACTTGTGAAAAGGACATTTTTTAGTTATTTCCATAACTTGTTTACTGCAAATAATATCTGCCATTCTGTTCCATGGCTCCTTTCCCATGCTGAATTAGTACCACAGAAAGCAGAACAGCCAAGAACTGAAGCTATAACTCCAAACCCCATTAGACAGGCTTGCTGCTGAAGCAGGTAGTCCCAGCTTGTTCCTCTTCACAGGTCATCATCTTTCTGTTGTCCTGGCACAAGCATCAGTCTGACTACATGACACCATGGATCAGATAGTTTAGGATGGCCTGTTAAACAGTAAGGGCAACTTCTTTATCAGATTAGTTCTGGCCTTGATCACTGTGCTGCTCTAGTTCACTTTCCAGCACTGCTGTGGGGAGAGGACAGTGTGAGTGGGCTGCTCCAGTACGTGGGCCAGTGAAAGTGTGTGTGGGACCACACTACCATGGAACAAAGTGCTGCCTGAATACAGACCTAGGGAAATACAAGCAAGTCCTAGGTCTAGGAATAAAACCTGGAAAGCTGCCCTCAACATAGTGCATTTTTTTACTTCAAAACAAAAATGGTGTCAACATTCCTAAAAAAGTTATTGGAGATGTTATGCTTCTTATAAGCAAGGGGAAGCAAGGATAAAATACTTCCTATTCTGTATGGTGATCTCCTTGAGTGTATTAGGTAAATACGGGAAACAATTTTAATTGGAAAAGGACAAAAATTCTGTACCAAAAAGTGACTTCAAGGGACAGTGAAATAAACACAATAGAATATAAACTAAAATACATTTTAGAATTTTTCTTTCTTTCTTCTTAGATTATTTGCCTTATCACATCCCACCGATTCTCCTACAGGCTTGTAAACCATCATAAAATACAGCTCTAAAACTCTTATTTATCAAATAAAACCAAAAGCCAATACCTTCCTCAAAAGGTTCCTCCCTTATAAAAAAAGAGGCATATGAGATCAGTTCTTCCACTGTTTTTTTTCAGAGCATGGCCTCCTTTGCCTTTCACTGGAAAGAGCAGGTAATCCTTTTCTCCTGAGGTGAGGTATAAAACTTGAGGAGCCAGAATAATTAGAAACCTGTTATCGTATGGGAAAGCACAAAGCAGCTTCCTACATGAAGGAGGACATAAATATGCTGGTTCTTACATGTGTTTATCTTCCCAACAGTGTGAAATAGTAAAACTGTACCTGCTAGATCAGCACTCCTCTTGTGTGCCCCCAGATTAACCCACTTTGTAGAATTTCATGAACATTTCCATTAGAGAGGGTCCACCAATAAAGCTGAGACATATTTCAAGCTTAGGATTTCTGTACCAATTTTTAAGCATCCTTTTGCATTTCCCTTACTAAATCTCTGTAAGACAATTTTTTACCCTCTTGGCTGCCAATAGAATAAAATAATCTAACAAAGCAGATTGTCTTCAGAGCATCTGCAATATGTTTGTCCACTATGCTCTCCTATCATAGTTCCTTGCTCATGGAAACTGCAGGAGACGACTTTGTTCTTGCATGCCACTTCATTGATGTCTTTCCCAAAGATCTCTGTTTAAGGAACCTGGCTAAGCTGTAATAGCTTGATAAAAACATGGTATCTAGATGTCACGGGGGATGTTGTGCTCCCTGTGCACGTTTGAGCAGTTTTAGAAGTGTGGCTGTATGGAGGAGGGTAAGAAGAATCTCTGGAGTTTGATGAGGAAGGGCAAACCGGAGATGCGATTAACAAAACAAAAGCCACCTTGGTTTTTGAGACAAAATTAGTGTTTTTTAATGCAGCCCTACAGGACAGTTTATAAAAGATTGTTTTCACCTGTAAACCTCGCAATCCCTGTTCAATCAGTAAGGACTGAAGCCAGGACTAGTTACTTTGAAATCAGTAATAGCAGGCTGTAGAGCCACTGCCTACAGGTTATGCTACAAACATAGCGCTCTTGAAATGTGTGGTGGGATCTGTGTGAACTCTTCCAAGTCCGTTTCTTCTTCTTGTTAAGTCTTGAGGGCAAGAATAATGCACTGCTGAGATGCAAGATGAACACAGGTTTTCTGGGAGCCTGTTTGGTGTGTGCTTGTGATTCAAACGACACAGAATTCTGCTCACACTGGAATATGAGCATAATTTAATGGCTATCTGGAAGGGCTTTGAAGAGCTGTCTATTGACACATCTCCAATACTCCTTCTCCAGTTGCAACTCTCTTATTTGTGATTATGTAAAAATTGCCTTGCAACTGTGTTGTTCTGCCCTGTTGGGCTAATCTGAGTTGAAACATCTTGTTCATATAATGTGCTTCAGTGCTCTTTTATGAACTCCTGTGTACTGAGGCAAAGTTGTGGGAAGCCAGTCTTCTGTTTCCTTGTCTGCTGGGGATTGGGGAGGGGGGTAGGGGGTGGAGATTTGGGCTGGTTTGTTTTGTTTTCCAGAAGTGATCATGCCTGCTTAGCAAATATGGAATTCTGGATGGGAAAACGAAGACTAACTTCTAATAGAGGGTCGGTTATTGAGGTGAAATAGTATCCCAGACTGGGCAATGTAAAGAGAAACCCACCTGTTTGTATGAGATGCCATTAAAGTGCAGGAAGGTGGGGGTATAATCGGAGCCACTTTTGCAGGGGTGATTACATATAACAAAAGGAGGAACAGCATCCCTGTCCCAAAGCTGCATTATGTAGTCTGGTGTCCCCCTGAAACTCAACTCCCATGTTTCTTCCTTGACAATGGGACCTGAAATAACCTCTTGGTTTTGGTTTTTTGTGTGTTTTCAAGTATGTTCTTGCTTAAGGTTTAATTGGCTCCAGTCAGTAGGAAAGGGCTCCAAGGCTGATTATTTATGGCTTACTGTCAAAAGTGGCTATAAAAAGGGCAGTATTATCTTGGAGATGCTGGGAAGGAAAATGTGGTGGGGGGAGGGTGGGGGAGTGTGTGTGTGCACGAATGTGTTTTCTTGTACTAGATGAAATCAGAGTTTTGCTGTCTCAGCAGTGTGGTTTAAATTGAAGATTAACCCTTTGACCTTCACGGTGTCAAATCACTTACAGATGGATCACCAGTTATATTTTTTTCTTTTTTTTTACTTTCGGGGTGAAGGGGGGCCTTTTTTTTTCAAAAAAAAAAAAAAAAAAGGTTGTTTGTTCATGCAGCTGGGGCTTTTGAAAGGCTCAGAAGCCAATCTGATTAAAAACAGCACTTGGCTAAACTCTGCGAAATCCTACAAGCAAAAAAAAAAGTTTAATCCTCTTGTGCACAATGCATAAAGGGTCTGCTCTTTTCTTTTTGTAATGTTAGAGCTACAATTATTTCTGGAGAACTTATCATTTCCCTCTCTCCCCTCATCCCTTGCTGCACCCCCTTGTTATGCTGATGGGATTAAAGTGTCTGCTCTTGAAAAGTGTAACTGAGTTGTTATTGGAAAAGAGAAGTGGTATGTTGCAATTTTAGAAATATAAATAACCTCGCTTTAACTGTTCTTCTCTACAGCATCAGCAGAACAGAAATCAAGTGTGGTGGCAGCTTTTTCTCTTCCTACACAACTTGGCCTTAAACACGGAGGTGAACAGGAACCACACTGGGCAGAGGTGAGCTTCGCCCGCCTGTTTCAGGCCACATCCAGTCTGCAGGGAGCACTGAACAAACACTGGTTCGGGGGCGAGACGTTGCACACCGCCGGCCGGATGTGAGGACTCTGACTTTCTGATACTCGTCTTCAAGTTTGGGTGTTTTTATGGACTCTTCTTTGCTGCTGCCTGCCTCGTGAGGCAGGGAGCTCTTGTCCAACACTGTTGAAGGAAAGCCAGAATGTGGGTGTGTTTGGTAAAGCTTGCTGCTGGCTCCCCGCACCGGTGACCTCTGTGCAAGGGAGGCAGGTATTAGACTGACGGCTTCCTCTGCCCTGGGTAGTAGTGGATGGTAGAGTGCAGGAGTGTCATTTTGGCTGCTAGTTAAAAATGATGCCTGGGATTGATGACTAAAAATACTTTGGGTATCTTCCAGAACAGAGATGCTCAATTCCTCCACGTTTTTAGCAATGAAAAATATTCATGTAGCTTGGAACCATCAGGTTATTTGTTTTATTCATTGGTTACTGTTTATTTCATTGCACCCTGTGTGAGAGAAAATCACAAAGAAATCTGACCTCTTCAGCCATTCCATTGGGTACCACTTTGCAGCTCTCTCACAAGTTGTTCTTTGTCATTGCCATCAATTAAAAAAAAAATCAGCAGAACAGTCTGAAAAAGAAACCGTCTTGGGGTTGCTGGTGGTTATTAGTTTCTGCCACTGCCTGCTTTCAGTTCAGTGTTCTCAGTGCCCATGAGCCAGCAGAAAGCCAAAACCCATGGAATATGGCACAAATGTCATTCTTCTACAATGCTAATGTATATGTTTTTAGTAGTTTTATGATGGATGTTTATTTTATTTTGTTTTTCTATTCTCTTACTATAACGTGGTCGGTCAGGAAGGCTTAGATCCCAGGCATCCGATAATTTTGCTTCAGGATTTGACAGGGAAATTAATTAGCATCTGGTCTGATATGTACACTGTACAAGCAGTCTGTCCATTACTCTAGTGCATAGTGTTTGGAGGCTGTTGTGAGCATATACTGACTAGCAGCAGTAATGGTATTTCAAGGGAGATCTATCAGTTCCCAGTCTGTATGCACTCAGAGGTTTGTCCGTATGGCTGACACTATTGGAACAGCACAGGGAAACTACCCTCCCAAAAGGAAGTAGCCTTAAATATTGATGGCTACTTCTCTGTAGCCTTAAATATGCTTAGTTCACAGACCCAGTGACAACTAGGGTAAAACATGAACAGAGAAGCAATACAGACCTTACTATTTTTTCTGGAAATTTCCATATTGCCACTGCACCTTCTTGTAAGTCTCAAATGATGCAACCAGCATGAGGAAGAGCTGTCCAGAGAATTGCTCTTCAGTTGTGTTAGAAACTACAGCTGCAGGTGTTGAGAAATTCTTCTGCTCTTGATCCACTCTGAAAAATACTCATTACTGTACGGAAGAGTAGTTTACTTGCACATATGCTTTCCTTCTCCACCCCTCTTTGCGTATTTGTCTCTAATTCCTCCTTTCTCTGGTATTTGTGTAATCTCATCATTGCACTGTAGTGTCTGGTGACAGTTTGCTGAACAGAGTTAATTTTGGACCTTCTTGCTTTCTCCCAGCCCCATTCTCTTCGATTTTCATCCTGCTCTACTGTGGCAGAATGTACTTTAGCTCCCTGAAAGAGGTTCCCAAACCTTTTTCACCCTCATGTATTCACAGTCACTCTCTTTAAACATAAGGAGAGAGTTTATGTGAGAAAAGCTTTTTTTTCTCCCTTTGTGTTATTTTTCTAGCTAGAGCTAGAGTAATATGTTTGTCCATGATGGTTAATAATTCATATAAATGAATCTCAAGTAATATTTTTGGGGGTGGGTTTTATGGAGGGGGAGGTGGGAGGTTTTTTTTTAGGAGGGTGGATTGTTTTTGGTTTTGTGTTGTTTCTTTAAGCATGTGCACTACAGAGTTACCCAGAGTAATCTAAGGGATAGCTGTTGCTGACTATGCTGCAGCAGGATGGGAGCCGCTCTCTGCCCGTGCTGCCAGAGATGAGGCTTTCCATCCTTTGCTTTGCACAGTCTGCTTGATGTAAACGCTGGCCATTGGAGAAAGAGGACTTAAATGGTGGGGAAAGCCCAAGGTGTAGTGCAAGCACAGACTGAACTGTAAAGCCAAATGTTAAGGAGAGAACTCTTAAATAGGAAGCTCTTTAAGAGGCAGAAGTGGAAGTGTGGAGGCTCAGGAAGCAAGGCAGCAATGATGCCTCCCTGTATGGCATGCCCTTGGATGTGATGTTTGCATTTCCCTCTGCTTGCCAGGACCCTTTTATCAGGAACAGTCAATGCTACATCATAACAGCTCTGCAAACTACAAAAAATTCAGCAACTGCTTCTGACATTTAAAAACCATTGTGAACTTTTCTCTTTCCCTCTGCCGTGACTTGATGGCCAAACAGGCCAATAAGGCCCGTCCTCTGGATGCACAAGCTGGAAAGATAAGTCTGGTAATGCCGCTTTCTAGTGTTAAGACCCGACCAACTTATCTAGGACGAGACTCTTCTTAACATGGAGAAACAAGTACCCGAAATGGTTCCTCAGTCAGCCTGCTGGCCTCGATAAAGTCATTTGGCTCGGGGAAAGACACATCTTTGCCAGTCCATATTTCCCACTGCAACAACAGACTTATCAAAATTGGTCATGCCAGGGTCTCAAAACCTTCTTGAACAACAATACTTCCTTGGAGACATAGAGCTAATGCTAGACAAAGGCCGACTTCCTGCAATATGCATGTTGGTTACTGGTGCCAGAGATTTACAACCACTGATAATATATTTTAATTATATTCCATATCTGCGTATCTCAGAGAAAGGAAATATGCTCTGTCAACCCAAAAGTATTACTTTGCTTCATGTAGATTTGGAGGGGCAAGCTGGGTATTCGCTTAGGGAAAAGCAACTACTTCATACTTAAAGTCTCACCTACTTGGGGAAATAGTGGGAAGGTTTCACACTTTTATCAACAAACACATGGATGCACAGCACTCATGTATGTGTCACCTATTCTGTGCTTGTAAAGCCCCTTGAATGCCTGCTGGGGAGATCTTGCCCTCAGAGTAGCTACCAGGGCTACTATGTGGCCAGGGACATAGGTCAGTTGTTTGGAGAAATGGTTCCAAAGAACAGGGTTTAAATCCTGTTGCTGAAGGGTTGTGCTCAGGTTTTTAGATATGAGTTTGTTCTGGTGTAAAGAATGGGACACTCTTTCTCTCTCTGCTGTAAAACTAGAGTCTAACAATTTAGAAAAAAGAGTTGGATCTTTCTCCTAAAACAAATTCCTGTTTTTAATGAGCAGTTCTTAAGAAAAACTTGAGCTGCTGTTGATGGTGCCAGCAGCCTTTAAATATCTTACTTGCCTTCCCCAGATCTCTGAAAGGGCTTCAGAACTCAACTGTCCTTCCTTGAGGAATGGAGCTCTTCCTCCTCCCCAGCCTCCTACTCTTTTGAATACCTTGTAACCTACCCATCCTAGGATCCAGCAAGCCTGGTGCTAGTAGGGAATAGCTAGCTTTACTTTTGTTTCCTGCAATTCTTGAAAGCTGAGCCAGTAATCACAAAGTGACTGCCCAGGGATAGTTGCAAACTGCTGCAAATAGGATACAAAAAAGGCAGGGAAGAGGATGAAATTGCGTGGAAAGGGCTGCTGCTGGATCTGTGTAGGGCTGCAGCCTTCCCTCAAGGTGCTGATGATCCCTGGTAGCATTGAATTTCTGCATAACTGATCACATATTTCAGTTTAAATAGCTTGTTACTAAATATTTGTTGGTTAAACTCTTGTTTGAGGAGTCCTGAAAGAAACTTCCTTGTCAGCCTTTGTTTTGGAGCTGTGTATCAGCAAGGAAATAAGAGGTGAGGAACCCAGTCTTGGTGTAGAAAGGGTGATTGCAAAGACATCTTTTTACTGGCTGTTTATTTTGTCCCCTAAGCCTGGATTAAAGGTATAGGCAGTGTGTATATGTGAAGTTACTACAGTCCTGGAGTTGCTCCATAGCAGTCACTGGAGCTGTACCCAAGGGTGGAACTTCATTTGGTGTGGCACTTGTTACTCTTCTGGGAAACAGCAGATCCTGACCATTAGTAGACTAGGAAGAAAGGTTGGTTTGCTTGTTTGTGTTTTTTTTAAGAAAAAGCAAAATTACTTGAGGCAGTTATTACAATGTGACCCTGTCAACTGTACAATGAATTCTACCCTTCTGCTGCTGGTCCTGACCCATATCTCTGCTGAAGCTGTGGGAATGGTGACATGCTGAGTGGTGTGATATTGAGGGTATTTTTAAAGGGAAAAATAGGGAAATCACTCAGCATATGTGCTAGAATCAAACAAGAATGCGTATTTGTGGCGGTCTTGCCTTGTTTTACCAGCAATATTTACTGCAGAATCATAAATAAGAGAACCATGGAATGCTGGTTCATATTAATGGGAGGTCTGCCCATGAACCAAGCACTGTTGAGTATTAGCATAATTTGACAACAAAGGTTTTAATAGTGTCTTTCAAAAGAGTCTGTCTTTCAAACTGGCATTTGTGATCATTTGCAAAAATGCCTACCTGTTGCCTTTGATTGTTTTAGCAAGAAGAAATACCTCAAGGAATTGATAAAAGATCCTATGACAATCTTTTACAGTTCCTAAAGACTTCAGTGGTCTCTGTTTCTTTGGTTTGCATGTGTTCACACAGGTGTTACACAGCTCAGCTCTTCTCCACCAGGAAAAGCAGAAAAGACCAAACACATCAAATGCACTGGAATGTAATTGTGTGTGTGTGAGTGTGTGTGTGTGTGTGTCCCCTTCTTTCTTCCATGTGCCTCACCTTCCCCCTTAGCCACAGAAAGGAGGGTCTCTTCCTACGAATCCCATGCTGGAAGTTGGTTTCTGGGAAGCGAAACCTAATGTCTGTGGGCTGTTTTTTAAAGCCATGTTTCAGTTCTGTCTTCAGACTTTTTGCTGCCTTTGGGGGACAGAGGGGTGGGAAGGGTAGATTTAAACTGTTTTTAAAATCTATTATGGAAATTTTGCATGTATAAAGTTATTCTTAAATCTAAAGGAGTCTCCCCAGTTTGTGGACATGGCTCCAGGAGAGCATCATCACAGATTCCTCAACTCAGTTTTAGATGAGACTATCCTGAAAGGAGTATTTGATGACAAAAGAGGGAGCGATTGGTGTGATGGAAGGACGACATTGTCAGTATATCCTCAAATACATGTCAGAAGTTAGGCTTGTAAAAGGGAAATTTTAAAGCAACCCACAGGATACGTATGTCTGTTTCCACTGGGTCATTTGAAAATTCTGCCACTAAATTTGAGTTTGGGTATGTAGATGTTGGGGTTTTTTGGTTAAAATAATCATGGCTCTCTTCTATTCTCTTCCATGGTATGTAGTAGAGTCTCCCATGTTTCTAGGTGAAATTCATTGATGAGAATACTGTGAAATATGGATTCACATTTTCTTCTCCTTCTTCCCCTCCTGCTTCCTGCATGACTGTTCTTCAGTGGGGTATTAAAAAAAAACAAAACAAAACAAAAAATAAACCAACAATGAAGTTGTTCATCTTGAAAATAAAAAGGGTAAGATGAGCTAAAATTTTCTA